CCTTCCTTCCTTCCTTCCTTCCTTCCTTCCTTCCTTCCTTCCTTCCTCCCTCCCTCCCTCCCTCCCTCCCTCCCTCCTTCCTTCCTTCCTTCCTTCCCACTTAGCAATAGCAGTTAGTCTTATATACCACTTCACAGTGCTTTACAGCCCTCTCCAAGCGGTTTACAAAGTCAGCCTATTGCCCCCAACAATCTGGGTCCTCATTTTACCCACCTCGGAAGGATGGAAGGTTGAGTCAACCTTGAGCCAGTCAGGATCAAACTGTTGGCAGTGGGCAGAATTAGCCCACAATACTGCATTCCTAACCACTGAGCCACCACGGCTCCAAACCAAAACTAGGTAGGAGCAGTGGCTGTAGTCCTTATTTATTTGGGATTGTCTTTATTTATTTTGATGTCTTGCATCTCTTCTAAAATTAAGTGCTTGATAGGCAATCTGGCATGGAGAATCAGTTTAAGTAAGGGTAGCATTGCTGTGCTGGAACAAAAATGTCCAGAAAGTGTAACTATTGGCGCACAGATTGCTTTTCAATTGATTGTAGTTTAATCTCCTTCCCTTCTTTTCCCCCTTCCTGAACTCTTATCTATGGAGATTCTCCGTCATCCAGGTCATGGTTGTCCCCAAGGTGCTATTTTTCCCAAGAGGCAACTGGACTTTCTGGTTTGGGGTGAGGTTTTTTTTTCTTTTGCATTGAAGACGTTTCGCTTCTCATCCAAGGACTGATGAAGCTTCTTGTACAAGAAGCGAAACGTCTTCAAAGGAAAAACCAGAAAGTCCAGTTGCCTCTTGGGAAAAAAAAAAAAAAAGCACTTTTGGGACTCTCTGTTTTTTTATTGTCATTTTTTTTTGCAGATTTGAAAAGAAACGACTACACGCCTGATAAAATCCTGCTGCCTCAAGAAGACTCTCCAGAGCTGACTATTCAGCCCGGGAGCTGCACCAAAGAATCCAACTCAACTGGTTCCAGACACTTGATGCTGTAACATTACACCCTGGCTTTTTACCAAACGCTTGGCAACGGTCAAATCGGTTCCGGTGCCCTCCTTGTCTCTGTGCTGGCTCTGGCCCTGGAAACTGACCCATAGTTTTAGGGAGGGGTTCTCGTGAAATACAGGCGTAGTCTGCAGAGGAGGAGCTGGCAGGCTGCCTATTTGTTCTTCAAGTTCCTTTTTCCCAAGGTGGAATCGAATTAAGTATTTATGAAGTAGCTTTTTTTTTTTAAAAAAAAAGAAGCATTTTAGCGGAAGGAATTCACTGTCCATTTTAGTACCTTATGGTTCTGCAGAGGGTCTCTCTCTCTCTCTCTCTCTCTCTCTCTCTCTCTCTCTCCCTCTCCCTCTCCCTCTCCCTCTCCCTCTCCCTCTCCCTCTCCCCCCCCACTCTTTCTCGGCCCCTTCACGCTGTAGTGCAATATGTGTCCATGACCAAATGACATTTTGGCTTTCAATGGTCCTAAGGCAGAGAGTGTTCCAGGTTATTGGCAGCTGGTTTCTGTCAATCTGACCAGAGAAATGAGAGAAAGCTGCCACCTTCTCTTGCTCCCTTTGCCAAAGGGTTCTTGGACACACCTCATGGGGTCGGGCTGAATATTCACGTGGCTGAATAGGAACGAACTGCTCCTAAGCATATCGGTCTTTGTGCCAGTAAGCATTGAGCTACAAGGGGTGTGAACCTCTGGTTCCTTTCCCCTCCCCAGGTGTTCAATCGCCTTGTCTCCTGCATCAGGATTCACCCGCGGAAGTGTGGAGCCAGTTTGCATGGATGGATTGTGTGTAATGAATTCCCCCCCCCCTTTTTTTAAATCAAACCAGTATACATTTCAATTTTATTAAGGCACTGTCTACGAATAGGAAAAGTATAAGGGATATTTGGAAGGAGGGTGGGGGTTAATCACAGTGGTAGAAGAGAAGATAGCATAGGATCTGGTTTGGGATAGGAAGTTGTCTTTGTGAACAGGTGGTCCCGAAACCTACCGGCTGCTTCATTCGTGTTGCCTTCCAAAGATCTTCCCAACCTCTACATGGAACTTGAATGTACACATGGAATTTTAGGACTTTTTCCAATGTTACCTCTGCATCCTGCCTTCTCGGACTGCAGGGGAAAGATCCAAAATCTCAAGACGATGCAAACAGGGACCTTCTTTGGGACTAGGTCTGTGTTGTCCCAGGTTCCAGTGAGAACCAAGTTGACTTGGAGGTCTTGCAAGTGTGAACCAGCAGTGCCTGGCAACTTTTAATATATTGGAAGAGAGAGAGTGTCTGTTCTGGTTCCCATACAACCTAGGTGACATCCCAAAAGAGCCCTTCAGTTGTGTTTAATACTCTGTGAGAATACATCATTTATGTTTATCTATGGAACTTATTTAAGAGAGAGAAAAAATAGGGTTGAATTTACATTATGTATTGTACGGGAGATTGCAATGCAACTTTATGCCAATAAAATGTAATTTACCTGTCCAAATTTGTTGAAAATTCAACAAGAAACCTCTTTGTCCAATTAAAGTTTCATGCTGCAAGATTTTTTTTGTTTGTTTGTTAAATAGGTACTAATTGTAATTTTTAATTAAAAGGCATCATAACGCTTAGTAATTCTTTTTTTAAAAAAATTTGTAGTGTATCTTATAGATACAGACATTAAGGCACGAACACAATAGCTGTTTAAATGGTGGTTTATGTGGCTGGGGGAGGAAATAAAGTGTATTAAAGCTATAAAACTGTATACATTTTATATATCAATAAATCTTTAAACAATCCCAAATAAATTTATTCTTGTTTAGACTGCTGACCTTTTTCCTTATTTGAACGGCCTGAAAGGGGATTGGAAAAGAAATTTTATTGATTTGGGAATTGTTTGGGTTCTGTAACGCATAGTGGCATATAATAAAGGCACTCATGGTAGGTGAGTGAAAACTGCTAAAAGTTTCAAGATAACATGACGTTAGAAGCCAGTGCAGCAAACCAAGAAGTTTTTTCATTCTGCTTTCTTGATAAATCAATAAATCATTTCTGCTAATTGAAGAACAAGGTGTGGCTGAAAGTCCATATTGTTTGCTAAAGTTCTTGCTTGCTATAAAGCCCAAAGTAAGGTAAACACCTGCTTAAGGAGAACACTATTTAGAAGAAGTTGCCGGAAGGAGAGAGCCGTATCGATGAAGCTTTTGGGGCCCGTGGAACCAATGTGTCTGTGGTTGAGGTATGCTGTGTGGGAGATAAATCCAGCAATTGCTTTGGAAAGCAATTGACTAGAATTGTGAATTAGGATTCCGGAATCACTGTGTCTTGTATTTTGTTAGAAATATCCCAATGGCATCGCCTAGCAACAAGGTAGAGTATATTTATGATGCCAGAAGAATCCATATTGAAACACCAGGAAGAAGTGCATATAGCCAAAGGGACGAGCCCTTATATTTGGGGGAAGCCCTCCTCAGTTGCGAGTAAGATGAAACCATCTGATTGCACCAGCAAACCCCAAAACCAAGCATCAAAATGAAGAGGAGGTGGTAAACTGGCTCCCCATAAACTTGAATTCAAGCATTGCTTTGTCTCCTTGCAAGCCAGCTGATGGCTTCCAGGTCAACAAATATGCCAGAAGAATTCAATATATATTATCTTCTGTGAGTGATTTTGTTTTGTTTTTAGTTAATTACTATCTGGCCACTAGGAGGGGAAGGGAAGGGTATAGAGAAATCTTACCTTTGGTTTATTTGGGGAGCTGGACTGCAGGAGTAGGGTACATCTAGTTTAATGAAGAGAAGGACTAGGAGTGACATGATAGCAGTCTTCCAATAGTTGAGGGGCTGTCACAGAGAAAAGGGGGTCATTCTATTCTCCAAAGCACCTGAAGGCAGGACAAGATGGAAACTTATCAAGGAAAGATCTAGCGAAGAATTATGGAGAAATTTTCTGACAGAAGAATTAATCAGTGAAAGGCTTCCTTCCAGAAGTTGTAGGTGCTCCAACGTGAGGTTTTCGAGGAGAGATTGGACAGCCGGAATGGTTATAGGGTCTGCTGCTTGAGCAGAGAGTTGGACTAGAAGACCTCCAAGGTCCTTTCCAACTCTTGTTCTGATCTTTACTCCTAGATTACATAAATTGGACAGATTTTGCACTATTTCCCATAAACCGTGAAGCTGAACTGAAAGTGTTTTAACAATACAGTGTGGTAGGAAAATTAAAATACAGGCAGGCAAACTAGCATTATTAGGCAATGTCTACTGTACAGTTTGTGGGTTGATATGATCCAGGGAAGGCCTGTTAATGTTTGTTATATATGTTATTTTTCCCCTGTGTGGATGAGAACTGGAAGTCCCCCCCCCCCCCCCCCCATGATGATAATCCTAGTTTGGTTTGAACACAGCTTTGAACATGTTTGACTTCAGCACCAAGTGGTTCCTTTAATTCTCATGTGCTTATTGTATCAACTGAACAACTTCCTTATCCTATATTCAGTCCCTTGTTTCGGACACTGGTCAATTTATACAAACGGGAAGAAAAACTCCTGTAAATAGAAGATTTTATTCATGTTAGGACTCAAGCCAATGCCAAAACTTGTTTGACAATTGTTTGGCTATCTAGGAAACTCATTAATTTATAGAAATTGGAATGGAAACTCTTGTAAATAAATATTTTTGTTCATGCTGGGACTCAAAACTTATTTGACAATTGTTTGGCTTTGGAAACACAGCAAGGGTGCCTTCCCCTGGCAGACTTCGGAGGAGTCTATGGATGTATCCAGAGATGACACAAACCCACAATACCAAGGACTTACCGGCCTGCGTAATTTAGGCAACACATGTTATATGAACGCTGTAATTCAGTGCCTTTGCAGCGTATCCCCGTTGGTGGAATATTTCCTCTCTGGAAAATATATAGCCTCGTTAGACAAGTAAGTGGATGGCTTTGTATATGCAAAAATGGTCGTTAGGAAATTGCTCTTTAATATTAGGCTAAAGATAATTTCTTTTTTTCTGGAAGCCACAAAGTTCCATAGGAACTAATTCACAAGTCTCAGGGTTTTGTTTTAGGCATTTCTGGGGTTTTTTTTTAAATGACTGTATCACCTGTTTGAAATTGCTGTCCTTGAGATGTTTTAATCATACTCTTTTGATATCAGATCAAACATTTATTGTCAATGCACAACAGGTGTACAATGAAAATGAAAATATGAATGTGTGGACCATATGTCAAACAAGCTTTGGACTGAGATTTCTAAACTCTCCTTTGAAGGGATATAAGGAAAGTGGTTCTAAAGAGAGAGGGAGACTTCAGGGGGAATTTAATTAAAAATCGAGTAAGATTTCTTTGTTTGGCACGTGGATTTAAGAGAAGGAAGCAGTTTTTATAATTGTCACATTGGTTCTCGACCTATAAAGATATTTAACATATATGATTTCAATAGTGACAGAGGAATCCATCTCTGTTCCAGGAAGTCCAGGCTAATGCGCAAGTTAATTGCTATTTCATACTATTTCAAAATTCAACCATGTAGGAAAGACAACTTCTGTCCCCCTACAGCAGGGGTCCCCAAATTTAGCAACTTTAAGACTTGTGAAGGTCAACTCCCAGCTCTGCTGGCTGGAGAATTCTGGGAGTTGAAGTGCACAAGTCTTAAAGTTGCCAAGTTTGGAGACCTCTGCCCTACAGCATAAGTGAAAATTACAATATGATGTGTAAGAAGGCTAGAAAAGAGTGATGCTCAAATTGGTAATGCCAAGTAAATGAAGACATATTAATTTTTTACAAAAAAAAAGAAATTCAGGAAAGAAAATATAGAAATTGACCACTGCTTGAAGCGGTTGAGGTCTAAGCCTGATTTGCAGAGCCTGTGAATGCATAATCCTTCCAGCGCTCTTGCGTTGCTTGATCTGCTTCTTCAACGTGGCTTTCAGCCTTGATGGCAGTGGGAGGCCATTAGCTGAGAGGCCAATAGGCTTCCTTGAGTAGGTAGTTGGCCCAATGGGGACCTACTGCTAGTGTAGATGAGCCAAGATTTGATCCAACGGGACGTGAATAATCTTCTCATGTTTTTCTATATGCTACCTCTTCTCTAAGGGAGAATGGAGAGATTGCAACAGCCTTTGCCTATCTAATGAATGATATGTGGCTTGGGGATTTTGACTGCGTCTCTCCGGAGGTTTTTAGGTTGGTCATTGGTGAACGATACCCTGCTTTCATCAAGAAAACCCAGCAAGATGCTCAAGAGTTTCTGATATATGTCTTGAATGAACTGCATGAAGCTCTCAAAAAGGTAAAGAGTGTCCATCATTTATGGAGTTAGGTGGCATTGAAGGAAGGATTATGCACTATACCTGGCTGGGAAAAAGTTTCTGACTAGCTGTAGAATGCTGTTCAGCATAGTGAGGTATAATTAACACTGGATATCAAATTCTTTTTACTCTCCTATTTTAATTTCTGTTTCTCAACAAGTCCTGTTTTGCTGACTCACGAGTTGAGCCGATGAAAGTATGTTTTCGATCTTGGTTTCAGCCACAGTTCAAAGGCACCCTAAAGTACAGTTTTATCTGATTTTGTACATATATGCTGAAATTGTGTCTGTACATAATTTGTGCATGCTGATATTACATGCTCAGGGCTTCCCCATGTAATATTGTGATTTGGAATTATGTTTAAAGAACCAAACAAAGGAAAAAAAGAAAAGGAAAACCATGCCAGAAAATATATCTTTCACAGCCATGTGTTGGAGGTCTAAACTATCTACTGAAGTATAGGCCATGCCATGTTTTGAACCTGTTCCTAACGTATTTACAAATGAAGATTTTAATCCTTCTTGGTAGGAAATGGTGATGTCATTTTTTCTCTTAATCTGTAGGGCATTTCACATTTCATGTTGTGGGTGTCAATATATGTATATTTAACACATTGGGTGGTTTGGGTTTGTTCAAAATCAGTTTTTGACTCCTGGGTTGTTGGTTTTTTCTAGGAAGCATTTTTGGAAGTGATTTGCCATTGCCTTCTTCCTGGGGCTGAGAGAGTGACTGGCCCAGAGCCCCCCAGTTGGCTTCCTTGCCTAATGCAGGCTTAGAACTCAGGTTTCCCCACTCGTAGTCCATGGCTTTTAGCAGAAGTCATTGTGAAATTATAATGGTGAATCTGAAATATATTATTATCCCATTTGGGGATGAAAACATAACATGTTTAGCTTTGGATTGGTACAGTAGCAACTAAGAAATTATAGAAGAAATAGCAGAAGCTACGGTCAGAGTTAAAAGAGGGATCAGCCTAGAATCTCTACAAGCGAACAAAGTCCAACCCCTCTAGATTTCCATTGGCCCTTATCTAGCTAACTATTAGTTGAGAAGATTCCTGTGCATATCCCAAAGGTGCTTTTTCAAGAGGAAACTGAACTTTCTGTTTTTTCTTTGAAGACGTTTCGCTTCTCATCCAAGAAGTGTCTTCAGCTCTGACTGGACGGTGGGGAATGGAAGGATTTATGTCCAGTTGCCTCTTGAAAAAGCACCTTTGGGACAACCATGACCTGGAAGACTGAGAATCTCCACAGACATTCCCGTTAATTGGTTTAATTGAACCTTCACGGGTTGACCTGGTCTTCCGTGCCTGATGGAAATTGTCCGACTTTCCCATATCCTTTTTCTCTTCCATAGACAAATAAGAAAAAAAATCAAGGAAGCTCATCGACCACTTGGGAATCCAGGACTTGCCTTAGCGAATGCTCCATTATCACCCGACTTTTTGAAGGACATCTTAGCTATGATATCATGTGTTTGGAATGTCAAACCACTACTTACAAAACGGAGATCTTCACTGTGCTCTCTCTACCGATACCTTATGAATCGGAATGCTCCCTCGAGGTATCAGCTTTTCTCAAGGGATGAAAACCGTCCCTATGCAGCTGGGTTTTTTTTTTTAACAGATCCCATATGTTGTAATCTAATGGATTAGTGTAGTGCAGGTGTTTTGTATGTCACATTATTGTTCTTACTTGACTCATTTTTAAAATTACTCTTTTAATCTGATCTATGAAGATCAGGTGTTTATTCTGTTCAAAGTCGAGAGAGGTGCTGTTCAGCCGGTTCTGACCGGTTCTATAGAACCAGTAGCAGAAATTTTAAGTAGTCCGGAGAACCGGCAAATCCCACCTCTGACTGGCCCCGCCAGCCCCATCTATTCTCCACCTCCCATTGAGTCCCAGCTGATCGGCTGGATCTTCTTCGGTTGCCCTGCGCAGGAGAACGGAGCTGGAAAGCAGGTTAGTGGGGTGGGGAGGGGATGGAGATTTTGCAGTAACCTTCCCCTGCCACACCCACCAAGCCAAGCCATGCCTGCCAAGCTTCGCCCATCAATCCATGCCATGCCACGTCCACCAAGCCATGGCCACAGAACTGGTAGCAAAAAAATTTGAATCCCACCACTGGTCAAGAGTGATTGGAACAGCAGGGAAGGGAGGGGAAGAAGGGAAGGGAAGAGGATAGAAAAAAGGGAAGGAAAAGAAAAAGAAAGGGAAAGGAAAGAAAAGGGAAGGGAAGAGGAAAGGAAAAAGGAAATGGTAAAGTGTAAAGAAAAGGGGAAGGGAAGGACAATATATAAATTCTCCCATTTATAATCTGAGCCCAAGAAGTGATGATGTTGATGTAACCCAAGAGATCTAACTAGGTTTCCTATCCTGTATATCTCTGCATGTGCAATACTTTATTTCTATGAAAACAAAATGATACCCATCAACAGCTTGTGTGTTACTCATGACTGATATTTTTTTAAAAAAATTAAACGGAGAAAGTAGCACGGTGTGCACAAACACCGAATTTTCACCTCATATTTTTTTTATTAAAGTTTTTATTTTTTAAAACAAACATATGCAAACAAAACATAAAAACATAAAACCATCTTCCATTTCACCTCATATTTATTTGCAAGATCAGCCCTGGACTTTGCACGGGGCATGCTTAGAAAATAAAAATGGCGGGAGGTGCACACTGGAGCTTTGTTCTAATATGTGCTTGTGTGTCCAGAACAAAAGAAGAGGCTAACCTGGGGCACTGTCTGGGGCCAAACACAATGCCAACAGAGGGGTGTTTTATGATGGGGCGAGTCCATCATGGCCACCAGTTAGCCAATCAGTTGGAATGATGAGAGCCTTGCCAGAGCTCAGCTATGTCCACTGACTAGAAAGGAAAAAAAAAGCCTGCTTGTGGTGTTAAACGTTGAATGTCATGCAACCTTTCGAAGATAATCAGTGTAGGATTTCATTGCAAGCACGCAATCCCCATAATTAATTATGTCTCTTTCCCAAACTTCTTCTTCTTTTTCTTCTTCAGGAATGCCTTGATTGCTTCTTTCAGCAGGACGTCTTGACCTGGAACAACCAGATCAACTGTTCCTGCTGTGGGATAAAAACAGATGCGGCAGTGAAAGCCAGCATAGCCAAGTCGCCCAAAATGGTCATCTTTCACTTGAAGAGGTTAGGCCTATTTGTCTTCGTGGGTTGACTTGCACAACATCCATTCTCCTGTCATAAATTGCTTACAGATGCTGGAAAGGAGGGTGTCATTTCAGGGGCAGAGTTTGACTAGTTAGGGAGGTGTTGACAATTGAACCAGAACAGAAATTGAATCTCAACAAATCAGTTTTAAAATAAAACCAGATGAAGGGGAGATTTCTGCACTTAACAGAATTGGAAGGGACCCTGGAGGTCTTCTAGTCTAACCCACTGGTCAAGTAGGAGACCCTATACCAAGGGTCTTCAAACTTGGCAAGTTTAAGACTTGTGGACTTCAACTCCTGGAATTCCTGAGCTAACATGACTGGAGAAGGAATTCTGGGAGTTGAAGTCCACAAGTCTTAAAGCTGTCAAGTTTGAAGACCCCTGGCCTATACCATTTCAGACAAATGGTTGTCCAATCTCTTCTTTAAAACCTCCAGAGATGGAGCGGCTATCTTGATTTCTCGCTCACACTGTATTTTATTTGAGAGGTTAGGAGCTGCTTCCATTTCTGACAGAGACAATGATTCAAACTCCTCATGTTCATATACCCAGTGTTTTTTTTTCTTAATTTATTTTGTGCACTCAGATATGAAATAGGTTTAAAACAGAACTAGATGCTAGTCTGGTCTCTTACTTATTATAAATTTGACTCTAAACAATATTCCAAGATGACTCAAAAACCATCTCTATTGTACTATTGATAAAGATCACACTTTCTTTCCAGATTTGATTGTCAAGGCAGTTACAAAAAGAAACTTAAAACTGACATCTACTATCCTTTAAATAACCTGGATTTGTCTCCTTATATATATCCACTTTTTCGGAAAAACCCCAAATACAACTTATTTGCTGTAGTGGTAAGTGATAATAGATGATTCTAGAATTCTTCCAGGATAACATTTCAGCTATCTGTATGCAAGAATGTTCACTTCCTAAAGAATAATAAAAAATGGGATAGGAATGAATGAATAGACCAAGGGTCTTCAAACTTGGCAAGTTTAAGACTTGTTGACTTCAACTCCCAGAATTCCTGAGTTAACATGATTAGAGGAAGAATTCTGGGAGTTGAGGTCCACAAGTCTTCTTTTTAAACAAATTTTATTAAGTTTTTCACATAAAAACAAAAATCTCTTTTTAGTGGACAACATATTTCCGGGTCATCACCTTTACATACCAATATGACAGCGATTATACATATATGCATACTTAATTCTATTATTACCTTTTCCATTCCAAATTTTCAGTAAGGAGAGAAACAAACACATTAATTGTAGCCTCTTTCATTAATCTCAATCGAAACATCTTTTTGTTTCTTTTCAATTATTTCAAATATAATCCTTTAATATTTATTTTAAAAATAGATAAACAATATGTGTTTGCCTAATAATAATAATGATAATAATAATAAAAAGGTTACCAATGTCTCTCCTTGCTTTTAATAGTCTATATTAACTTATTAATTTAGCTGGTTCTTTAGTCTGTCATATTTCCTTTCCATTACACATTCTTTTTATAAATTCTAGATTAATACAAATTTTAACATTAAAGAAAAAAAAACCAAGTATAGGTTTCCCCCCTTTTACTGCTTTGAGTGTGACACCTCAATGGTCAAAATATACCTTTATTCCCTCATCTTGATTCCCAATAAACCATTATTTTTAAGAAGTTACAATAATAATCATTACATCTTTTCATTTGGATTCCGCAGCATATTTTCCCCCCTTAATTTTTAATAGAAGTTATCAGTATCTATATTACCCTATTTTCTAAATATTTTTAATTGCAGAAATGTTCTTTTTTTAAAATAACGTTTTATTTGGGTAAAACATCTTTTTTGAAAATAGCATGGTCCCGGGTTGAACTTCTTTATACAGATACAAAACTCAATTTCATGCTCCTTTTTGTATTCTATTCCATATCTTATACTATTCTACATTTTCTATATAGTTTTTTCCTTCTTTAAATTTTCTCCATTTTATTTTGATTATCTCATCTCAATTCAAATCATTATATTTATACTTTTGTCTGTTCTGTTTCAATTTCATATTATCTTTTCTCATTAAACAAATTTTCTCCTGTAGTTACTAAATGGAGTATGACACCTTTATATCTTTTAATTACATCCATTCAACTCTTATTTAAACTTCAATATATATACCTTAAGGTTATGACCTTCAATATAATACATAATACATAACTTCCAATCGAAATCTGCTTGGTACATTCTTATAATACACACTATATTCTTTTTTTAAAAGGATTATAAATATAAGTAATTATGAACCCTCATTTCATTCCAATTCAGTTCTATCATTAATAATCATTAAAATCTTAACATCCTTAACACTTCTTTTCAATTAAATATCATACTTCCTTAAAGACTTCTAATTCTCTCTTCTTTGCAGAAATATTCTTATTACCCCTTGTCACCCTGCAGAATCCTGTTTTTAATTCATCAACCATTATCTCTGAAAAAACAATTTCTTTTCAACATTTTACTATTTCTGTATTTCTTTATTTCATGCACCTGTTTCTTACTGCTTCTCCTCCCCCTCTTTTCCCCATATCTTTTCTCATTCCAGTTTATATCCCTCTCTTTCTTAATATCTTCCTTTCCCCTTTTCTTCTGGGTCTTTCTGCCTTTCCCGATTTCACAGGTATTCCCTTTGATTGCCTTCTTAAGTCTCAACTTTTTAACCTTCCTTCTTTCCCCACTTCTTTGTAGCGTTCTTTGTGTTAATTGTCTATTTAAGATGTCTTCTCCTTGAGTCGACTCCTCCTCCTCTGAAGCTCTTTCTTCTTGTTCTTCAATCGCCATTTCCATTTTTCTAACACAGAGCAAAATGATTCGCCTCTTTCCTGTAGTAATTCTCTCATATTTTTAAGTTACATTTTTAATTCCAGAAGAGATATCATCATTACACACTCTTGTATTTTATGATCATTAAAGTCCACAAAAAAACCACTTTTACTTTTCTTCTTTCTTCTTTCAATTTTCTAAAGTTCTCAGTTATTCCAGCCGAGGGTCTATACCAAAAACATCAATCAATTCCACAGTCAGTCTTTCCTTGCTTTTTTCTTTATTCTGGTTCTGCTTTCACTTTCTAAGTTTCTTACTTTGTTTCAATATTTCTTTAATATTATATCCACACAAGTTCATTCAGAAACAGGATGTTTTTCCTTTTGTTTGAGCTCAAGTTTTTGTCAAAAAGTGGCACTCTCCATTATACAAAGTCTTCACCCTTTTCCCCTATTTTTTGTTTAGGGTTTTTCGAACCTCAATATTCCAGCACAGTCCAGTCTCCAATTTGTAAACTTTATTATTATTATTTTTTTGACAATCTTAAGTCCAGCTTTATTTTATGCCTGTTTAGCCCCAAAATATTTTAGTCCAATTTAGTTAAATCTTTAGTTACAGCTTCTTCCTTTCCCGGTTCAAAGCCACGCTTAGCTGTCAAAAATATTTTCTTATTTTTTTTCCTGTCCCTTTGTAATTTCTCTGCTCACTTTTCTTTTCTTAAAAAAATCATGTTACCTTAATCCCGGGGTACTTTTGTTTAGTTGTATTGCCCAGTTGTTCCGGTTCAGATGTTATCCACCTCTTTCTTCCCTCCTGCACAAATCTTAACCCAGCTGAGTCCTCCTCTTCGGGGTGGCCATTTTAAACCACCGCTGCAGTCGTCTTCGGGGGGAAAAAGACCAAGTCCAGGAGGGGAGCTGCGGCTCCCCTCACCCTGGCTTGAAACTTCCCTTTACTCCGCCACCCCTCCAAGGCAGCTTCAGCCCCTAATCATAATGATTGGCGCTCTCCAACGAAAAAGCACGGACCATAGCCGCAGAGAGTCGCGATCTACAGTCCGTCAGCGAGGAGGCTCCCGAGGTCCACAAGTCTTAAAGTTGTGAAGTTTGAAGATGCCTGGAATAGACAGTAAGAAAATGGAGTTCAGTAAAATTATTTTACTCTGTAACTAGAAAGGATGAACATGTGATGCTATTGTGATGAGTAAGATTTTCAGCAAGTTTTGCCAATTGACGCAACCAAGAAAAAACCTGGGAGATATTATAAAAAGAAGACAATACAGCTGTAGGATGCAGATGAACTAAACTCTCCCAAGATGTTTACAATCAGTTTTCGTTCAGGATATCTCTCTTATTGGAGAAAAAAAATAAAAGTGGCTGGATGGGTGGGAATGGAAAGAAAAATATGTGCCTAAAACAGACATATTATTAGAGGGGACAGCAATATTCCAATCCATACACATGGATGGCTTTACCAGATATGCTTTTCAATGAAGTAAAGACATTCTTTTAAAAAGTCACTTTTGGGTTTACTGTACTGCTCGCACAGTATTTACAATTCAGTAAACAAAAATAAAATAGGGGGGAAACCCATCTTCACAACTCAGCACATGTGACAAAATTCATAGGCAACGTGACTCTGTTTCATGAGAAAGAAAAAACCTTTGCACATTCATCCATCCTACCAGAGGTGGTATTCAGCCGGTTCTGACCAGTTCTGGAGAACCGCTAGTGGAAATTTTGATTAGTTGGGAGAACCGGCAAATGCCACCTCTGACTGGCCCCGCCCCCATCCATTCTCCGCCTCCCAAGTCCCAGCTGATTAGCTGAGTCTTGTTTGGTTGCCCTGCACAGGAGAACAGAGCTGGAAATCAGGTTAGTGGAGTGGGGAGGGAATGGGGGATTTTGCAGTATCCTTCCCCTACCATGCCCACCAAGCCACGCCCACCAAGTCATGCCACACCCACAGAATTTTGAATCCCACCACTGCCTTCTACAAACAGCTGGATGAAGCTTGACCTCCATAATGGTTCAAGGTGTACTGTCGTTAATCTTAAATTTGGTTTTGAATTAGGGTATGTGCAATCTTACTGCCCAACTAACATATGCAGGTCGACTTACAACCATAATTGAGTGAGACACTTGTTAAGTGAGCTTTATGACCTTTCTTGCCACAGTTGTTCAGTGAATCACTGCAGTTGATAAATTAGTGACCTGGTTCTTAAGTGAATCGGGCTTCCCCATCGACTTGGGCTCATGTTGTGGTTAGTCGGTAGCAGGTGCAGATGGCTGAGGAGAGCGAGGACTCCGATGAAGGGCCAGGACCTTCAGGGAGTGGACTGCTGCCTTCAGAGATTATGGGCGCTGGCAGCAGTGATGAGGAGGTTCCTGAGGAGCCTGTGCCAAATGCGCGTGCACGCAGGGCTGCTCACAGAAAATAGCAGTTACAACAGCACAGGAGACTCGGGAGTAAGGCTGCAAGGTAATGGCCCCTCCCTCAAGAAGATAAAAGCCAGGTTTGGAAAAGCGTTCTTTGCAGACAGCAAAGAAGCTCTTAAGTTCAACTGGTGGACATCTTAGTACATTTGGAGAATCTTGTAAATTAGTTCTTATCTCTGTGTTTTGGGCATCATTGACAAACAACTTGGCAAGGCTCTTTCTTGTCAGAGCTAATTAGTGGAAAGCAGCCTTTGATATGTAAAGGAACAGAATTCGTTATTAAACCTCAAAAGGTGGGGGCTGCTGCCTTTGTCTGTGTTTGCTCTTTGGGAACCGGGTTGGGTCAGAACAGTTTGTCAGAAAGTTGCAAAAAAAAGGGGGGGGGGGATCACATGACCCTGGGACACTGCAACCATCGTGTTTTGAATTGGCTGTCAAGCATCTGAATTTTGATCACATGATCATGGGGACACTGCAAAGGTCGTAACTGTGAAAAAGGGTCATAAGTTGCTTTTTTCAGTGCCATTGTATCTTTGAATGATGAGTGATACGGTGGCCTTGAGGTGGAGCTCTTGTCTCCCAATCAGGAATCTGTGAGTTCAATCCTAGGTAGAGGCAGATAGATATTTCTCTCTCTGGGCACAATGAGAATGTATCTACTGAACAAAACTCCACATTGGTGACGGGAAGGGCATCTGGCCATTAAAACACTCAGCTAGCACCATTCGGTTGCCCAAACTCCATCCCGCAAGGGATTATGGGGTCATTAAAATGACAATGATTGTATTTTGAATGGTCACCAAATGAACTGTTGTTGAGGACTACCTGTATATATTGAAGAATGGACGCTGTTAGGATTGGGAGTCAGAAACAAACCTCCACTTTGTTATTGATTCTCAGAGCCACCTCCCTCCAAAAATTAGAGTGATTATCAAACTAGGATATGAGGCCCATATGCTGTCACGAGTGGCTTGTATGAAGTACTTTCTTGGTAAACTTAAAATGTGTTGCTATTTGCAGAACCATTTTGGAGATCTGGACGGTGGCCATTATACTGCATTCTGCAGACATACTCTCAGCCAAAACTGGTACAACTTTGACGATTCCCAGATCAACGAGATCCCAGAATCCTCTGTGCAAACATCTGCCGCTTATCTTCTGTTTTATAGCAGTCAAGCTTTCTCTGCACCCGTAAAGAACCAGAATGTCTAGGAGAACCAATTAGTAGGTTCCAGGGGTCACATTGAATTGGCCCACACTTTGGTTGTTGTTCAGGAACAACTGCATTTTTTCCCCCCTTGTGTCTTTGGATTGAACTGATGGAGTGACGTAGAAGCTGGCCCTTCCAAGCCACTTTCTTTCAGTGAAAAGAACGCTACTCGGCAAGCCTTACGCAGAATGTGACACGACACCTGCAGTTAAATAAACTCTTCTTGGACAGAGTTGAGTGTTTATTATTGCAGCGTCCACCAAGAACTGGATGCTTCCTTCTCTTCCTGATTATAATTCTGAATGGATTATACATTACCCAGTGAAGCTCATAAGTTTGGCAGTCTTCTGACTAAAAAAAAGTGTACTATTTAATAAATCTCAACCACCACCTCCTCTCAAAAGCGTTCCCGGAGTAAACGTTAGTTATGAAAGGGGTCCCCTGTTCCAAAATTCATGCTGCTTTAAACACAATATTCAACCATTTTGGGCTTAGCATTTGCTCTCATCTAGTCCAGGGGTCGCCAATCTTTTGGACCAAAATCCCACGGACCAGAGACCCTGGGAAAATCCCCCCAAAAGTCTGCAGGAAAATTCCCCATCCCGTTTTCCTGCCGATCGATCGTTCTTTATTTGGGATCGCAGGATACGTCACCAGCTCCGTACTCAGAGAGGGGGGAGACTTTTGGCTTCATGCAAGGAAAGCAGCAGAAGTCTTTCTTTTTCTCCCTCAAACTCTGCCAGAAATGAGTCTTTGTGAGACTTGTCGCACCGGCTCAGCCTCTTGGAGCAGGAGGCCTTGCAGGGTCCCAAAGACTCATTTCTGGCAGAGTTTGGGGGAGAGAAAGAGAGACTTTGGCTGCTTTTCTTGCGTGCAGCCAAAAGCAGAAGAAAGAAAGAAGAGGAAAGAAGCAGCCCGGTGGCCAAGCAAGGCTCATGGGGCGCGTGGGCCAACTTCCCCCCTCCACCCTTTCCCCCCTCCCCTCACTACCTCATGTTGTTTGCAATGCAAGCCTTGTATTCCCGCAGGCCATGTGGGCGGCGCAATCTTGTGTTCCCGCACAGACTGGATTAATCACTTAGGGTGGTGTGCTTTGGCGGTGACATTTCTCTGCGGACCACCAAAATTTTCTCATGGACCACCAGTGGTCCCTGGCCCACTAGTTGGTGACCACTGATCTAGTCTACCCTTCCTGAAATAATCTACATTAAACTACAAAGCAAGGAATAGCAGTCAGGCCAATGCAATTTGAAACAATCACATAAGATTTTTTGTTGTTGTTTAAAAAAGAAAAGACACAGATTCAAGACATATATTAAAAATTATGTAATGCTTCGGTCTTCCAGAGTACATTGTAAAGTGCGGAGATAAGACATATAGAAACCTAGTTTGACAAAACAACCATCTCTCTTTCTCAGCAGTTCTTGTCAAAGGATTGGATTTCTTTATTATATACATGTTGGATGTGCAATTCTGCAATCGGTATGTACACGTACATTCCAATCTTTATCTCTGACTAAGGTATTCACAGTAGAATCAAGCTTTAAGGTTAGTGTGAAAAGGCCATAAACGTGGGAAAGAGGAAAGAAAGATACGCTTTGAATTTTAGGATATCTCGAATCCAACTTTTTAAACACTTTTCAAAGGACTAAGCAAGATTTATAATTTTCAAGCGTAGCTACAAATAAGTCGATTTGAAACATATTATTCCATACGAAGCAGCAGAGTTAATAATTTAATTTTCAGCACTAGCACTAAAATACATTTTTGGATAAGGAACTGCTGCAGCCCTTCTTCAGGCAACTCTACATTGGTCTCAGCTCAGTAATTTATCAACCAACTAATGCATACCCTGGTCCTTCCTTTCAGTGGCTACATCTGCAGCCCGTATCTTTCAGTCCTTCCTTTAAGTGGCTACATCTGCAGCCCGTTGTTCGTAAGATGTATAAAAGAGAATATAAGCAGCTGAAGACTTCACTGAGGATGCAGAAATGTCGGACACTTCGTGATCATCAAATTTATACCATCGCTGCTTGGCAGCACTCTTGCAGTAAGCTGTGTAGTGTCCACCGTCCAGCCCTCCATAATGGTTCTGTGGAGGAAACAAAAATTAGGATCAAGAGTTTCATGTGGAAACTGCATGTGGGAAAACAGTCTAGGAATAGAAATTCCGGATAAATTTGAAATAATAGAAAACAGTTGTAGATCGGGTTTTAGATTTTGGTAGTGGTTTGTTGTCCAAGTTTGTTCCAATTTAGTTACTGAACGTTTCATTACCAGGCTAGGTAACATCAGCAGCAGGATTTTCTTGTCAAGACATTTATAAATTAAGGAGAACGGGACAAGGAAATCCTACTGATGGTTTTACCTAGTCTGGTAACGAAACGTACAGAAACAAAATTGAAACAAACTTGGAGAACAAACCACTGCCAAAATTATTGATAAACATACATGAACACAAGGGAGTCTGTTTATTAACTAATTAGCCAAGAGCATTCAAAAGGCCTGTAGAGTCCATGCTACGGTTTTCCCAGGAGTGATGTATGGCGGTGAGAGTTGCACCACACGGAAGGCTCAGCGCCCCAACTATGGATGTTTTCAAATGGTGGCGTTGAAGAAGACCCTTGAGAGCCCTTTGGACTTGGAGGGCATAAAATCAGTCAACCCTAAAGGACATCAACCCTGACTGGTCTTGAAGCTCAAAATACTTTGGCCACCAAATGAGAAGAGAGGACTGATCGGAAAAGACCCTGAAGATGGGAAAGATGAAAAGCAAAAGGAGATGGCAGAGGAGGAAATGGTTAGATAGTGTCATCAATGCAGTGAACGTGAGTTTGGGCAAACTCCAGGAGATAGTGGAGGATGGGGACCTGGCATGCTGTGGCCCCATGGGGCTGCCCAAAGTTGGACATGACTTAGAGATGTTCTTGAAGCTTCTAAGTAAAATATGGCTTCCAAACAATTTACAGTCAGCATATTGCTCCAACAATCTGGATCCTCATTTTACTGACGTTAGAAGGATGGAAAAGCTGAGTCAACCTTGAGTCCTGTCCGGATTGAACTCCAGACTGCAGGCAGAGTTTGCCTGCAATACTGCGCCATCACCAACCATTCAAAAGGCTGTTACTTACAGATACTGAAAACAGGTTATATCTCTTCAAAGTACTCTTGGGGCCAATGACGTATTGTGACAGGTCAAGGTTCTCCAAGGGGAAATCAACAGATGTTTGAAGCTTCTGTTTCCACCGCCCATCGTATGAAAACCTAACCATGAGCAACAGGAAATAAGCGTTAGGCAATCCTGGGTCTACCAAAAGTAATCAATAATTATTTATTTTTATTATTGTTGTTTTTTATTATGCAATTTTCTTTGTTATATATAACATTTCCGTATCTACAATGGCAGTGTACTATCTCTTTTAAATAGACATAATAAAACTTATACTATCAATATTTATTGATTTATTCATTAATCAAATTTATACAGCTCCCCCTCTTCCCAAAGGTGACTCCAGACACATTTAATAATTGGAGACACCACTGATATAGAGACAGACACCCAGCTTTACCTTTTCAAATGTACTAAAAGGACCGGTGGCAACTTCCATATTTCTAATTTTTTCAGGGAATCTCTTCGGGTTTTGCAATGGCTACAATAAAACCGATTGTTATCTGTCAGCTTTTCTTCTTTGGAAAATAATCTGAGGCATTCCTGGAGGAAAAACAAAAACACCTCAGGTGAATTTCAAAGAGAAGAACAATAACTAATTTCTTGAGTTTAAGATAAAGTATGAAAATTCCAACAGCCAGCAATTTTTCAGGAATGAAAATGGCAAACTCACTCACTTCTCATCCAGTTCCATCTAACGCCACACGTGGTTGTAATTCTTCACTACTCGGACTCAGATCAATTGTTCAAGGTCCTACACAAACTTTAGCCATCACAGTATGGCACCCCATGGCTCATTTTTTTCTCCCTCTTGTTAAAGCCCTAGCCCTTAATACTAGGATAATATACTGGATTAGGACATGCAGTGAAATCTCAGAAATCCGATGGATAACTGTATAGAGTAAAACAAGGACTATTAAAAAAGAAAGATAACCTCCGCCATTAAAAGCTTGTTTGGGAATTAACCTCCCGGCGGTGGGAAGAGATGCATTTCCCGCCTTTGCTATTTTTGATGTGTCAGGGCAGAACAAAATGGCTGTTGCGGCCCTGGTAGGTAAGAGGAGAAACTACATGCATGAAACTGTCAGTCTTGTGAATGGTGGTTTATTTTCCCCGTCACTGGCAGAACACTTTCCCCGTTTTGTTTAAAGACACAGCAATGTAGAGAGAAGCATCTTGCTGCCTTAACAAAAGAATGATCTGGAAAGGTTAAGAATCTTCCCATGGTTCAAACCCACCTGCAGGCTGCACTTGCTGGTGGAGGCCAGCGGCAACGATAAATACATGAAGGCCTCAAAAGTCCGTGATTTTTTGTGACACGTCAGACACTGCACTGTGGATTTGAACTGGCCTTGAAAGAGGGCCACGATAATCGATTCGTTCAGCTGTTTGTGCTTGTGCCAGGCAAGATCAGCTGCTCTGAAGTCATCCAGGTGATCGTTATTTTCCTCTTTGTAGCGTTTTCGATTGTCCGCCTGGAACATTGGAAAACGAAAAGTTATCAGTGCCCACTTGAAGCGTCGGGAGGCATGTTTTGGATAGGAAGCAGTAACATTCATCGTTTATTATTTTTTATGATTCTCATCATGTGTTTATTATGGAAAGACGGAGATGGAGATAGATACTTGGTTCTAAAAACACAATCCACAGTCTTTGATAATTATTTTCGCCTTCTTCTTTCAAACCAGGGTGTTGTCAGGCAACATTTAAGACCTGTGGACTTCAACTCCCAGAATTCAACAGCCAACATGGAGGATGTCTATAGATTTCCAGTCATCCAGGCCATGGTTGTCCCAAAGGTGCTTTTTCAAGAGGCAACTGGACTTTCTTAGTTCTTCTTTAAAGACGTTTCGCTTCTCATCCAGAAAAAGAGCTAAAGAAGAAAAACCAGAAAGTCCATTTGCCTCTTGAAAAAACACCCTTGGAACAACATGGGAAGTTTTCCTGTTTTTTATTGCTCTTGTGAAACCACAGAAACTTCCTATTTTCAACTTGGTTTATTTTCTGCACTGGATGACACTTGCCTCTTTTAAAAAAACAAAACAAAAAACTTTTTTCTAAGAAGGACGGAATGAAGCCCCTTCTCCTTTCCTTCTTCTTCTTCTTCTAGTGTTGTATAGCACTCCAGTGGGAAATATTTAAAAATGGAAACCTACTTTATTTAAGTCTTCGTGAAGGCCGTCCATTAAGAACAAGAGTAATTCTTGAGAATCTTGCTGACTGTACCCAGCAAACTGTTCGTTGATCTTCCCAATGGTGATTTTGAAGTCTTTGGGGCTGATGTATCTGTACTGCCCGGTCCACAGAGCTTTCATTATGATGCCAAACTCCTCAGCTACTTCTCCTTTGTACCCCAAAAAGTTAGACCTGCAAAGTGAATGATTGACATTTCCAAAAATGAGCATGAGTGGAAAGGGGGGGGGCGGCAGAGGGATCTGCAAACAGCCACTTACTAATTTAAGACAATTACTTATGGGTAATCATGCCACTAAGGAAATAATTCATTGCAACCATGTTTGCAGTCCGATGGGAGTTCAGGAGAAGCCGAAATTACCGGTTGATATCTTCGTGATAGAAGTTCCTGTTGAAATAATCAGCCAGGTGCGGGGTATTGCACAAACACTGCAGCACTGAATTCATATAGCAAGTATTTCCCAAATTACGAAGGCCAGTCAGAGCAGGTCCCATCCCACCAAACACAGGATTCAGATGGCGGATCTGTGAGGCCGAAAGCCTGGAAATTTCTGTTTTGGGATAGCACACAGGCCTGTAGAGGGAGAGGAAAAAAAAGTTAGATCAAATGCCTTTTCCCGTTAAAGATCTCTAAAAGCAGACTTTTGCTTGTTGTCAGGTGGTGCCAAGTAGGTAGGTGATCAAGTCACAAAGAAATGAAATAAAATAAAATCGGGAAATAAGGATCAGGATAAAGGTTTTTAAAATGCCCTCGGTCAAGGGTTTCCGTTAAGAACAGGGGTATCCAACCTTGGCGCCTTTAAGACCTGTGAACTTCAACTCCCAGAATTCCCCAGCCAGCATCGCAGAGCATACCTGGCTGGGGAATTTTGGGAGTTGAAGTCTACATGGTCTTAAAGTTTAGAAAACCATGCAGGAAACTCATTCTTACATACTCCAGTCAGGATCAAGTAGGAAAATGCTTTTATTCCTTCTTTTATCCCACCAACTGCAGAATAATCGTGTATCCTGCGAAAACCTTGAGAGGAAATGGATCAAGCAACGTACTTATTCTCACGATTAACAGTCGGAGTGGGAATCATTTTCTTCTCTTCCTCTTGGATGGCCTGAGTGATATCTGGGGAAGAGTACGAGCGCTTCAGTTTGGAGTGTTCCCTGTCCCGCAGATCGGCAGACGGAGGCTTCGGCTTGTGAGTCGGTGGAGTAGTGGGCGGAGTAACCGAGGGAGTCATTTCCGGTGGGTACATGTGGACTGAATTGGTGGGCGAGTGGTAGTACCGAAAAGTCCCGGTGACTGTATCCAGAAACTTCGAAAGGCAAACCCAGAAGATAACAGCACAAAAATAAAAAAGCGGGGAAGAAGTTAAGCCACATTGAGCCAACTGCTCATTTGAAGGAGTAAAATATGTAGATTTAGGACGGAATCAACTTGGGGTACTTAGAAGTTCTATGTTGCGTTTAGAAGTTGCACTGACCTTGGCCCAGCCATGGGGCAACCCTGGGATAATCCTGCCCATCTCCTCACTCCGGGCTCTGGTTAATGGTTCTCGTTGGGACTAAAAATAAAACACATCCCCAACACCCCCCCAAAAAAGAGATTAAACCCTGTCAAGATAACATACTGCGTCACTTCTCTGGTATAACTTTGACATATTAAACCAGAGGTCTCCAAACTTGGCAACTTTAAGGCTTGTGGACTTCAACTCCCAGCTATGCTGGCTGGAGAATTCTGGGAGTTGAAGTCCACAAGTCTTAAAGTTGCCAAGTTTGGGGACCCTTGTATTAAATGTTCTCTCTAACAGCATACAAAATACGTTTGAGCCACTCAGTTGCAAGCACTGTTTGTTTGGGAGAAGAATGGATCTCTAGGTGAGGAGCTTTCCTCTGCTTCCCCCTCCCCCCCCCTGATCTGCAGTAAGAAATGATTTCTGTAAGACAAGGTAAGAACATGGAATCTGCTTTATCAATGGGAATACAAAAGAAATAGTGAGCTGGACTTGCTGGCCAACTTGATCTGCCTCATAGATCCTACATCGATTTAAAAAAAAAATCTTACTGGGTATATAAGAAATGCAAGAATGACTTTCAGGGCAATAATTGAGGGATATCTGAACTCTGATTCTACCACCTGGTCTTTAAAATGCTGAACTGAAGGCTAGATTTGGATATTCAGAATTATACAAAGCCCTGATCCATGACAATCAGAATCTGCAGCCCTTTACAGCAAAGAATCTGGATAATGTCAGAAACACCTGGTTCTGTAAAAGGGGTGAGGGACCCCAATGTGATATGGAGCAGAGGTGGGTATTCAGCAGGTTCTGACTGGTTCTAGTAACGGAAATTTTGAGTAGTTCGGAGAACTGGCCAATATCGCCTCTGACTGGCCCCGCCCCCATCTATTCTCCGCCTCCCGAGTCCCAGCTGATTGGCTGGGTCTTCTTTGGTTGCCCTGCACAGGAGAAGGGAGCTGGAAAGCAGGTTAGTGGGGTGGGGAGGGAATGGGGATTTTGCAGCATCCTTCCCCTGCCACGCCCACCAAGCCACGCCCACAGAACCGGTAGTAAAAAAAATTTGAATTCCACCACTGATATGGAGTCCGACTGTTATCTGGGTGGGTGGGTTTTATAGTGGGATCTTATCTCTGTACAGCCTCCACAAGGCTTCTTGTCACTCTCAGGTGACAGCCGGGCCGCTCACCTTGTTCAAGCCAAAATCCCCCCTCAGAGGCCCTTGGGATTCCTCATCAAATCTGCGCTTCTGTGTTTCGGGGGTCCAGACAATTTTCTCCTTTTCTCCGGCCGTATTTTTGTCCAGGTCGGCTTTCCTCATCTCAGGGCTTTCGTTCCCAGCCATACTTTTCTTTTTCACCTCAGCCGAATCTCTGGGGACTTTCTCCAGATCTTGCTTCCGGTCGACCCCTTTGGCGGGCTGTTCTTTCTCTTTCTTCTCTTGGTCTTCTTTAAACCTCTGGAGATTTTCTCGGCCTTCCCAGTCTCCGTGGTCCTCGCTGGCTCTCTTTTCTGCTCTTTCCCGTCTCTGGGCCTCTCTCAGCTCTTCTGCCTCTTCTTTTTCTCCCTCGTTTTTTCCTGCCGCCGTCGCCTTCCTCACGTGCCCGGGGCTCCTCTCTTCGTCCGTTAGGCTGGGCTTCGTATCCAGCGACGGCTTTGTGGAGCGATCCGGAACTAGCTTCCCGTTGGAAGTTAGTGGCTTCACCTTCGCTGGGCTTTCGGCCTTTGCCTTTTGGTCCTCGGGAATTTTTGCTGAGGGTTTTTTGCTACGATCAACCTGGATTCAAAAAGAAAATGAAAGGAGCGGTTTGCTTGCTAGCTTCTCTCCCTTCTGCTTCATAGTTTTTGAAAAATAAGAGTTTGGTCAGAGTTTTTTAAAAGAAAGGCAAACCCAAAATACAATATAAGTAGTGCGGCAGCTTGTAAACCAAAACTGCATTCCATAAATGTTTTCAAAGATAGTAGCTAGGTGACTGAAGTTTCTGCCCCGCACAATTCTAACTGGAGAGCATAATCGATGACTCTTGGCTATGGATGTGTCCCATTGGAGAATATGAATTAGGATACACCCAGAGGGGTAGGGGAAAACCAGGGTCAAGGGTGACAATGAAGGATGTGACTCAGAGTCGGCTACACCCAGGCAGTGCTGGACATGTTAACGCCCAATAAATCCTTTTGAAGTTTTGGAAGTTTGGCTCGAGACTCATGATTTAATTGGGGGTAACTGCCATCATCCCGACAATAAGTTCATTAGAAGGTAAGAGTACAAACTGCATACCTTCAGGACCTACAAGCAATTCTCAACTTACGGCCAGATTTTCTGTTGTTAAACAAGGCAGTGGCTAAGTGAACCGCACCTTTGTTCTGTAAATTGCTACAGTTAAGTGAATCATGCGGTTGTTAAGTAAATCTGGCTGCCCTCGTTGATTCTGGCTTGTGAGAAGCTTCCTGAGAAGTTTGGAAAGGTTTATTTTATTTTTTATTTTTTTTATATTTGTCGATTGCTTACAAGATAATGGGTATAAATAAAAACACAGTTATGAATACATGGATTCATGTAAGAAAAATAAAAAAATATATAAAAGAAACAATAGGACAGGGACGGTAGATCCTGGACCCTGGGATGCTGCAACCATTGTAACTGGTTGCCAAGCACCCAAAGTTTGATCATGTGACTGTGGGGGGGATGCCGGAATGGTCATAACTGTAAGAACTGGCCATAAGTCCAGTTTTTTCAGTGCCATTATAACTTCAAACCGTCATTAAATGAGTGATTGTAAGTTGAGAACTACCTGTATTTGGATACCACCCCTCCATCTTTTCCACCTTCGTTGCTACAAATGCTCAGAATTGCCTGCATGATCATTACTTTGCCATCCCTCTTAACTGAAGGATCCTTTCCTCTCTGACTGTGGTGGAACCTGGTGCTAATTTACGGGAAGGAGGAGTAAAGAGAATCATCGGCCTCGAATCCTTGCTAGGGCAGGAAGCGGTACAGAAGCCATCCTCCCTAGTTCCTCCTACGCATGCGATGCGGAGTGTGCTTTAGCCTGGCAAGATTTGGCCTACTGGCGGACAGCAACGAAGAAACTTCTTGAGCTTTTACATGTCTCGTTCTTGCTTTCCCACTGACATTTACCAGTTTTTTTAAAAACAAAACAAAACAAAATTCATGCTCATTCGGCTTATGAGAATGAGAAAGGTATACATTTGTGCTATTATGAGGCAGTGTAAACCAGTGGGTCATTGCTTGCAGAAAAGGGATATAGCTCACCTGAGGAATAACCTTCATGGCCGAGATTGGCTGGCTAAGAATGCCAGTCGGTGCAGCAGCAATGGTTCCGCTAGGAATTAGCGATCTAAATACATCCATTTTCTTCTCCTGCTCGCTTGCGATGTCCGGTTTTTCAGGTGCTTCTACCACGGAGGGCCTGACATAGACAACCGGTGGAGGAGCCGGAGCCGGAGCCGGTTCTTCCAACGACGGGTAAGTAAAGTCCACTGAAACAAATATACAAACGGAAGATGCTATGTATTAACAGGCATATGCTTAAGACTTCTTATGTGCTATATATAGGGCCAGTTTGGTATTCTGGTTAAGGCCCTGGACCCGAAACAAGGAGTCGGTGAGTTTTTGTCCTGCTTTAGGCATAAAGACTTAGGTGACTTTGGGCCAGCCACTCTGTTTCTCAGCCCTAGGAAGCAGAAATCAAACCACTTTTGAAATCTTACTGACAAAACTGCAGAGGACTAGCCCTTTGAGTCAAAAACACATACAAACAAGCACACACACCAAGTAATATATGTGCCACAGGCATATCTGCATGAACCTGGCCAATATTCACAAGGCAAGGTCTCCATATTGTTCTAAACTGCATTTTAGTTTAACCATCATTTGTGGCATAAGGCAAACAGCTTCCTGTGATGACCTGGGGCGTGGCACAAGTCAAATAAACAAGAAAGGTCCCTTTAACACCCCTAACTTTGCCCCCAATGTCCAGGTTACCTTTGGCTGGAGAAAAAAAACTCTTCCAAGAACAGTCTTTAAGTGGAGGAAATTCAGTCCGAAAACAAAGTACATACAAACTGTAAATTAAAATCCACACAAACCATGCTGCAGCAATTAACTTGACAGGGCAGGAGAAGGAATTGGAGACTTGAAAGCACAGCAAAACACACACTGTTGGGAAGATGCCAGGAACCCAGATAAGCCTCCACGATACCAGATAATTCACGATTTGTTCCCAACAACATTGCTATGAGCAGCTTCCCTTTTTAAACACTGTGTTCCCAGCTGCAGCTAATGAAGGGAATCAGGGCCCTTTCCTTCCCCGTAAGCCATGCAACTCACGTTGCTCCCTTCTCCATTCCTCCCTGTGTGCCCTAGGATGAAGAGGGGGTGGCTCTGGGTCTTCCTCCGAATTCCCTCTCCCTTGCTGTACCTTTCCTCTGCTCTGCCCAGCCAGACTGTGCCCTTCCTTAGTTTCTTCCACAGCCAATGAAGCCACACTCCCACTTCCTGTCAGCTGCTCGGCTTCCTCTTCCCAGTCAGATTCTGACAGGGGCATGACAGTTCTACACAACACGCAGAACCCTAAATTGCAGCTTCCCAACTTCGGCAGCTGAATTCCCACAACATACGAAACCCAATATAGCTGAACTACATTCCCTGTAAGTCGAGGACCATCTGTAATTGTCTTCGGAATTGCAGAACTGATTCAAAATCTCCCAGATGAGGGAGTGGGGGAAAGCCTTGTCTACTTACAAGAGACAGAAATGTTCTCCTTCTGGCCACGCTGAGGCACAGCCACTTTGGCGTTGGTTGTATACTGAGGATAGCAAAGCAGCCAGTTCTCGTAACCTCCGTCTAGGACCAAGGGCTCATTCCGTAGCACAGCTTTACTTTCCCACTGGAAACAAAAGGCAAAAAAATACTTGACCAAAAGCAAGAGGATGCCCAGGCATTGGGCTGAAGGACAGATTATGTGAAGGTGGAAAATCTTTCCCCACCCAATTAAATTTCTCGCAACAAATATCTGTTGATATGAAAGTGATGGACAATGCAAAACTACAGTTACTCTGATGTCCTTTGGAGGGACATGGTGGCTCAGTGGCTAAGATGCCGAGCTTGTTGATCAGAAAGGTCGGCAGTTTGGCAGTCTGAATCCCTAGCACTGTGTAACGGAGGGAGCTCCTGTTACTTGTCCCAGCTTCTGCCAACCTGGCAGTTCGAAAGCACGTAAAAATGCAAGTAGGAAAATAGGGACCCCTTCGGTGGGAAGGTTAACAGTGTTCCGTGCACCTTCAGCGTTTAGCCATGCCGGCCACACGACCACGGAGACGTCTTCGGACAGCACTGGCTCTTCGGCTTTGTAACAGAGATGAGCATCATCCCCTAGAGCCGGAAAGGACTAGCACGTATGTGCGAGGGGAACCTTTACCTATATTAAACGAGTCCAGGCTAATTCCCTGCTTGAACCCTCCTCCCAAGTGAGACAATTGTTCTCCAACATTCTCAACGATATTATCACGAGTGGGTTCCTCCTATCTCAAACTAAGTACCCAACTATAAATCTGAAGTGGCCACCTTGAAAAGTGCGTCTTTGAGGCTCCGCAAAGTTGTGCCTAATTGTAGGTCCTTTGCTGAACTGAACCAGTCCAGCAAGACAACATAATCCACCTGGACCCTCTGCTTCCATGGCTCCTTCGAAGGGTCTGGCAGTTTAGCTTCAATCTTGTTAGCAGTGACTCTGAAGTTTGATGCCGTCCACAAAATTAGAAAACAAGAAAACAAGATTATTGTTCAAGGTACAGTTGGCCAGTCATCAGACACAGAGCCTTGAATGCAGCTCAAGAGCACCTTTGACATTCTGAATAAATGGGTTTGCTTAACGACCTGGATTCGCTTAATGACTGCAGTGATTCTCTTTAACAACAGCCACAAATACAGGTCGGTGTCAAGCCCAAAACTGACATATGCGTAGACATTTTATTTAGCCTTATTATATATTCCTTTTCTTTCTTTCTTTCTCTTTGCTGCTTATGGCGGGGAAGGATTTTGGCCTTGCCACATTCCTAAGGAGGGAGGAGTGGAGATAGAGTTGTTTAGGCTAGGTGGTTCTCTTTTCCCGTGGGAACAAAAGCTGACCCTGCTGAGACCTGGAGATGGAGATTGATGACACCACGTTTGATTGATGACACGTTTATTTACTTCTATTGGGGAATGAGATTTTGGGGGGCTGTTTCTAATTTCCAATATTATGTGGTGTAATTCCGGGTTGTGTCAGATCCAGAATTACAACAGACTCTGACAATTTGATGCTTTCCTAAATAAAAGAGATTGTTTGGAAGATGGACTTTGTTCTTTTCTTTTTAAATGGATTTCATCACTTGGAAACCTGACAGTTGGAAAATCTGGTCGGTTGCATGGATAACCTGCTTTATGACCGTTATGACTTATAACCATAATAGAAGGCTCCCTATCGGTTGTAACTCGAGAACTACCTGTACCACTATCCATATAAACGCAACTCAAGAGTTTTTTTGGTGTTCTGAATATATGCACTTACTACTGGTTGACCATCCCATCGCAGGGCCAAAAGTTCCATAGGCTAATGAAGCATTCTTTTAAAAAGAAAACATTTAAAACTACTATTTGTACTTTCCAGCCTTTTAGGGTGGCCACGCCAATAAGTGATCCCTGTTTACATTTCCTGTATTCTCTGCTTGATCCCTGGTAAGCTATTTAGCATTATGCAGCTTTAAGATCTATCAGAAAAGTTTGTTCCATACCCAGGACTGATAGCTTCTTGTGGAACACAAACAGAATTCATAATGCAGGATTCCTGGTAATCCTTTAAGCACCGGGCATCCATGATCATAACCTTGATGCTTTTATCCATCATCATAGTAAACAGCTTCTCAGCTGTGATTGTTCCTTTAAGAGACAGAAAAATCATTTACCAAAGCTAATCAAAGAAGGCAGACGGTTTCAATAAAGAATTTTGAAAACCACAAGATCTACGTTTTTGCAATGGGTTATGGATTTCCTCCACGAAATATGCATATTGTCAGCCTCAAGATCTCTTCGGGTACCCCAACTATTATCCTTTATTTCTCCCTTAGTATCTCTACTACTAGGCTTACTTCTTTCGGCTGTCATTAGCAACGGGGGGGAGGGGTAATTGTGGGGGGGAAGAGAGCTGGAGGTGTTTTGCATTCTTTTACTGTGGGCAGAAGAAGGGGGGGGATTTCTTCTTTCCAATTTTCCATTTCTTTCCTAGCCTCTATCCTTTTTGCGCAGCTGCGAGGTCTTATCAAAATATGTCAAGGTCAACGGACAGAGGCCTCATCACTACCTGAAGATGCTCACATGATCATATTCGGAACTTTTAATTGGCAGAGACTTCTGGACTTTGGGGGGTGGGAACAATTCCATTTCTTTGTATGTGTGATCTGCGCGCCAAATTCTCACTTTCGGAATTCCATTTGTAGCTTCCTTTTCATCTTCCAGTAAAAGAAGAACTTTGCTCTGAACCATGGAGTCTGAGTATTTCTTTCTTGGATTTTGAAAGGAGCACATACCGACACATATAGTTTTATTCATAATATGACTCAGCATTCATTTCGGCAACAGTCACTAGTTTTCCGCTGGAGAAAATAACTATTAAAACTGGCTATATGTTTACATGATTGACAAGGACAAATTATTAAAAATGTGAATCGAATGTGAAGCTGGAACTGGAGTTCTGAGAATTATACAGTATTTGTTTTGTGTCTCAAAGTTTTCCACCCTGAATTTTCAAACGTTGGAAGCGTACACACCATCAAAAGTTGGTGTAGGTGTGGGAATGCAGGAGGAGGTCCAAAAATAGAAGCAAAATAGGTAGGTTGATCTTTCAACAGGTTTGGCAAGCTTCTATTTTTAAAAAAATTAAAAATAAAACAACCACCAGGTTTCCAAAAAACCCACTCTGAAAATAAGCCAAAACATTAGTTTCCTCCATTCCTGACATCACCTCATGCCTTCTACAGCCAGGGAAATTGGGGAGAAAAGGAAAGAAAATGCTCTTCTCTTATCACCCAGGCAGTAGGAGTGTGATCCTGATCATCTATCCAAGGAAGCCATTATGAACGGCAGAAGAAATCTCTTAAGACATTTTGAAAACACATGGTGGAATGCATGAGTCTCTCCGGTTTTCCATGGGTGTGTGGAAGCTAAAATTATTGCTACTCTAGCAAAATAGTTCTCTGAGATTAATCTTACGAAAGAGATCTCAGTCTAAATCACAAAGGGGTGGATATTTCCTTCCTCAAGGGAAACCACCAACTTTTAGGGACTATCCGAGATCGAAGATGTTTCTCCAAAATATATCTCTTGAACATCTTTCACTTGTGGTCCCTACTCTTTAAGGATTGATGAAGAGACGATGCTTACCCTTTTCAGAAGAATCCTTCTTGTCTGCCACATTTTTCTTGTCTCCGTTGACCTGCATTATTTCGGCATTAAAAATAGGTTTAGTATGTCAGAAAAAAAGGCACCCCAAGTGGTGTTTTTTTCTAGACTTAGTTGTTGTATCATACATCCTGATAAGAATCTTCATTAGTTGGGTTTATATACCGAAGAAGACATGAAAATTGAGATTCTTAACCCAAGGAGCCAAATAATACAATTACTATCAACAAGAAAATAAGGGGATGGATTTGGAGCAGTTTTTTTTTTCTGGTTCACCCAGTAAAGTTGTTTGCTGAAAACTATGTTTTGTTTTTATCCTTTTCTCTGTCTCCCAAACACCCTGTTCCTTAAACACCACGAATCAACCCTACATACTTTGCATCAAAATATTTCTAGCATAATGCAACGTAATTAATGTCTCATTTGAATTCTGGAAAACATTCCTGTCCAGGCTGGATATTTAGACTTTCCCTTGCTTGACTGTACAGTGTCTAGCACTAGCTGAATGGGGTCAAATGGTTGAGTTCAAGAGAAAATAAGAGTAGACATGGAGGCTTGAATAAGGACAGGACTTAACCACCATGTGGCATCTTCCAACTAATGATTTTCTGGCTATATAACATGGATAATATAGAACTGAGGATGTATCTGCTGAATAAAACTCGCATTGGTGGCAGGAAGGGCAGCCAGCCAGTAAACACTCAGTTCCATTCAACTGCCCAGACTTGCATTCAATATGCATTCAATAGCATTTTGGCAGAATCAAAGGGAATCCACAAAAATGTGCATTCAGGATGAACTAATCTACCAAACGTGTCTGCCATCATTGCAGGCTTTAAAAGGATTTTCTTATGTTCAGAATTTCTGAATCTGATATTCTCGAGAGAGACGGGTGTTCGGCTTCCATAATTTAGGAATGCCAAAGTTAACCTAAATATCAGATTTTGTTCTTAACCTCGCAAGTCGCGTTTGTCGTTGCAATCAATCTGACTAGCCATATATATATTTTTAATAACTTCCTTTTCTACAAAGAGTGTTTTTAATGGCATAGAGGAGAAATATATGAGAGGGATAAATAGTGGTTGGATTACCAGCTGATTTTTCCCGTTGGAATCTGTTGATATTTCTGAAGAGGTTTTAGCATCGTCTTTTAATTCTTGTTTTTTCTGCTGCTGTTCCTCTTGCCTTTCTTTCTCCTCCAGTTTCTTTCGCACTTCTGCTTCTTCATATCTAATTAAAGGAGACATTTATTTCCCAAGCATTACGCAGCATGGCAAGCGTGACTTGTTAAACGCAGACTGTTGTTTATACTAAACAATTATACGTTCGCATAAAGGCAAATACATTTCATAGTAATAAAAATGTGAAGATGACTAGGTAAAATTAAATGGCAGCAGCAGCAGCAGCTAAAATGGAATTTGAATTAAAGAGGGTTGGCAGTTGGCCAAATGAAGCTTTTCGTGTTTTCTTTTTTTTATCATAATAGCCATAGCACTTAAGACTTATATGCCGCTTCACAGTGCTTTTACAGCCCTCTCTAAGCGGTTTACAGAGTCAGCCTCCTGTCCTCAACAATCTGGGTCCTCATTTTACCCACCTCGGAAGGATGAGTCAACCTTGAGCCTGGGGAGAGTCGAATTACCAAATTGCAGGCAGCTGGCAGGCAACAGAAGGAGCCTGCAGTACTGCACACTAAGCATAATGCTGAAAATATGGACACTGTATCAAACTTGTTTAAAAGATATTCCTGACAGCCTAAGCAAGGACATTCCCACCAACCTGACAGGACAAGCCAATAGTGTTTGTGTGTGTGTGTGTGTAGCAATTTTTAGAGTAACGCAAAAAGGAGGTTAAGTTTGGCACATTTGCTAAACTCCTTTGCAATCTGCTACATGAATCTAAAGCCCTTTGTTCTATACAGTCAGAGGCCTCGTTCTGCACTCTTTCCCTTCCTGTGTGTGACACAGAGCTGACATGCAGCCCCCCCACCCCCAGGTATGGCGCTAATGTTCTGAAAAGTCTCCAAATTCTTGATAGATGGAAACATAATGCAATAGGAAGGACACCCCCACTGTGACCAATAGATAAATACATGAACTAAACTTGTAGAATACAGTAATTAACCCTTAATGCTTTTCAAAGCCTACCTGAGCTTAAGACTCTCTGAAAGTTGTTCGGCTTCTTCAATAGCCTTTTTGATATTGGTTAGTCCAAGTAATGAATGAAAATAGTCCTGTAATTAGAAGAGGCATCAACTACTAGTTCATCTCTGACACCACAGTCCAATATATACAGGGAGTCGTGCTGTGACCAGAACTATCAAGAGATACATACTGCCCTGCCTTGCACTGCATTGCAAATAACCAGAATTTTTTTTTTTGCTCTTCTACCCATTTTTATCATCCCGCAAAAAAATTAAAAAATAACAAAATGTTATGAATAAATAAATAAAAAAGAAAGCAAAAGCAAACAAACAAAAAACTAAAAGGGGAAACTTGATGGCTCCTCGGCCCTTTTTCTGCATTAGTTTTCTTTGTTTATATGAAATCAAGGAGCTTGTTGGAATTCTTGCATTCTAACTTGAACCTATGAAGAGCTCTGAGATAAAAGTTTTCTATGGATCAAGCAAACACTACAATTATGAATAAATGGGACAAAAATATATAGACTGAATCCCCCTCCCTTTCTATAGATCTCTATCTATCTATCTATCTATCTATCTATCTATCTATCTACTTACCTACCTACCTACCTACCTAATCTGTGGATGTATATTTACAAAGACATCTTAAGCAACAACGTATCATGTGTTTTGGTATCTTTCCCTCAGTTCTTTTAAAAGTTCAGCACAACACTTAAGATCTCGAAATGTATAAAGGCATTTGTAACTGAATACATACTTGCTGCTGTTTGAAGTCAGGCCTCTTTTTAATAAGATTATATACAGTTACATATTTCATGTAAAGTACATAGGCCTTCTCTTCATCTCTATCCAACCGGCATTCTTCCGCTGCCTTGAAGATCTTAACAGCACTCTGGACATAACTTGAAATGGAAGCAAAGAATGGAAGTCACAAAAGCTGGTGTTATCTTCTGCAAATATACACTGTTAAAAAAAAACCCAACAACCTTGCCGACAGAAACAAGTAAGGAAACTGTTTTCAAGCCTGAACAAGATTAAAAATGATTATCTAATAAAAGCCACCCATTTGGCTTTTCTGATCTGCTTTTGTTCAATTATCTTCTGTCACTGCTGCCAAACTTCTACGCTCTATGCTGATACTTTAAATACATACCATTAATCATTTATAACACAATCCAGTGCAAGTTTAAATCTTGGTGAATTTTATTGCATTTGTTCCCTGGTAAAATGTTGGGCTTTGTCCTAAAGAGTACCGCATAGGAATTAAGAGTAAAATAATTATATTAGAAATAACACAGTGTGTGCTGAATTAAGTTCTTCCTTTCAAGGAAGGAAGGAGGCAGCTTTTATCAGCTTCAATCAGGAAGGAATCTTAATTTCATATGGGAAGGGATGCGTATGTAACAGTTCTCAGCAATGCTATTAAAAAAAAACCCCAGAAATGGTATCTACAGTATGTAGAAAAGTCTATTATGATCCACAAACACTGAGTATTGCTGGTTTTTTTTTAACAATTCGCCCAGAATCACCGAGAATAAGCCATATAAATTTTATAAACAAAAATAAATAAGTGAAACTAGTTGAGTAGAAAATTCAGTGACAAAAGCCTTCTAAACAGTGAGAATAATTTAAATGATCCATGAAGGGAAACAGTTCCTTCAATCCCTACCACCGAACTGGCATTAGGAAAATAAATATACTAGTTGGGTTAAACAACCATACTTCTTAGTGCTTGTTTTCTCCGGTTTTACTTCTGTCTTTTTATTCAGATCTTTCAACGAAGTGCAGAGATAGAGTTCTTTAGGTACAGAAGCCAAGGTAGGCATGTTAATATATTACGGTGTCTCTTCAAAAGGATTCTTTAAGTTCAGTCGCTGTTTTCTGAAAAAGAAGATTCCAAATAAATCTTAATCATAAAGCCTCAGAAGTATATCAGATATACTGATAGCAATACCTTATTGATTAAAGTCAGACATTAGGCCAGGGGTATCAAACTTGATTTCATTAAGGGCTGCATCAGGGTTGTGTTTGAACTCGGGGGCCAGGGTGGGCGTGGCCAGGGTGGGCGTGGCCAGCTTGATGTCACTCATGTCAGGGGCGCCTTTGGCCCAAGCGCTCTGCCAGCGAAAACGGGCTCGCAAGCTCCTTTTTCAGCTGGGATGGCTTCCTGCAACGCTCTGCCAGTGAAAGCAGAGCTCACAAAGATTGCGGGCTGGATCTAAGCACCCCTGCAGACTGAATCTGGCCCATGGGCTTTGAGTTTGACACCCCTGCATTAGGCCATATCAGAATACAAAATATAAAACACAGAAGAGTAAGAAGACCAAATGTTATAAACGGAGCAAAATAAGGCAAAGAAAATGCAAATTATATTCAGATCCACATATGCCTGTGATGGCGAACCTATGGCATGTGCGCCAC